TCCTCAGTGGCTCCGGTGAGGAGAGTGGTGCTGGCAGGGACGGTGAACCAGGATGAGTATCCTGGGGGTCGAGGGAGCATGGGGCTGGAAGCAGCTGCCAGGCACCTGCGCTGCGGGTGAGCCGGGCTGCACCCTGGAGATGCCTTTTGGGCACTCACTGGCTTTCCTGCACCCCAAATCACCAGGCCACAAACGCTGTGAAGGATAGTGCTGCCTTAATAGGCCTTCCTGTTAAAAGAGTTAGTTTTCAGTTACTTGCAAAAATTAGTAAAACCTCAGCCATGAAGGCAGAAATGTCCCATTTTTAGTTGCTCTCCTCTGAAAAACACAAAGGAATTTTGAGCCCAAATGTTCAGCTCTTTGAAAAAAAAAATGCAACTGGAGAAAAATATGGGAACTATTGTGGTGGTGGTGGTGGTGGGGAATAGTAAGGCTGAGCATGCAGCTGGGGAAGGCATACTCTGAGGCCCTGTGGGACATGGCAGGGGTCCACAGCATGGGGGGGGGGGGGGGGGGTTGGGGGGGGAGGGGGGCGATGGCGGGGAGAAGGCCCGTGCCTGGGAGGCAATGGGGAGGAAGGGCAGAGGCAGCCGGGGCGAGGAGCCAGGGCAGGGATGCTGAGGACTGAGGGCGACATGGGATGGGAGGTGGGAGGAACTGCTGTCCTGACAGCCACGGCAGCACGGGGGAGCATTCGTAAGGGAAGGAGCGTTAACCTTAACGGGGCGACCGCACCGGTGCAAAGACGACGGCGGTGAGCCGGGGCGTGAGGGAAGGATGGGCTGGGAGCAGGGCCCCTCTCTTCGCCCCTCAAAGGCATCAGCAAGTAACTGTGTCCCCAAAGGGGAGAAAAAATTGCCGGGTCAGAGAGTTCAATCGATTCAGGACTGTTTGGAGAAATGCCAGAGCGTGGCCCAGACAGGTCACCTTGGACTGGAGCAGGAGGGAGAGAAACGGGGGGCAGGAGGCCTCGAGGTGGCAATGAGTTATGAGGGCGCATCAGTCATCTGTGAACGATGCAGCCTGAAGAGGTTGAAAAGTTTGATGAAGCTCTCTGTCACAATTTATTAAGGTTGGGGCATTTTGCTGGGATCCCATAGATCTGCACCGTGGCCCTCAGTGCCATGCATCACCAAGGGCCCAGCCCTAGGGACACTGCAGGGGCACCTACCTCAGGCAGCGGTACCTGTGTCCAGGCATCCTGGCGCAGTGGCAGCAGCACCCGGGCACCCACCTCCCCAGCACCCAGGACAGTGAGGCATTTTCGTCCGTGGAGAGTTTCAATCTACGTCTCTCTGAGTCTTGGGGAGGAGATGGGGTGTCTGTGAGATTTCCATGTTTTTTGAAGTTTGCTTTTAAGAGGGCAAAGCTAAAAGTCCTTTAAAATAACGTTCTGGTTGTGAAGCCAAACAGTCCAGCTCCAGAAAGGAGTAAAAAGGCAGCGGAGTGCAACCCAGGTTTGTTTCTCTCCTGCTTGTGTATTATGAAACAGTTGTTAATTACTTGATTGCATATTCCTCTGTGCGCGGGATGGGTCTGTGAATCAGTGTTTTGTAGCTGCTTATCTGCAGAGCCTCCACTTTGCTGTTACAGAAGCTGGAGAACGGGCACTAAATGAAACGGGAGCGGGTGGGAACAGAAAGGTTTAACATGAACCAACTGAATCAATGAAACCATCACTGAAACAATTACGCACTGGTTCCTAGAGATCTGGCAGCTTTCTTCCTCTGCCAGAGTCAGAGTTAGTGCTAGTCTTGTTGCTGTTGCAGTTTTCTCAGCGGTGGAGAGCACCTCTGTGTTTTCCAGACCATGGGTCAACGGCGCAGTGAAGTCAGCATTAGATCTCCGAGCACCACGTCACTAATACTACAGCTATATGGCCAAACTTTAGCCCGATAGAAACTCACTCCTGCGGCTCAAGGTCTGCTTAACAGGTAGTGGGTGGTTAACTTTTCTGGGCATCTTTCCATATACCGTCATTTACCCCAGGCTTGGTGCTGCCGCTCTGCATCCTTTTGTGCAGCAGCGGGTCGCTGCCCAGCCTCTCGCAGCCGCTCTGAGCGCTAGCTCAGCGCGAGTACAGCTGCACTGATGTGGAGGTGTGCTGAGCTGTCACAGCTGAAGGGGGACTATAAATGGCTGCAGTTATGTTAGTAAAGCCCAAACTCTGGCAGCTGGGGGTCCCACCATGTCCCGTTCACAGCCCCTGGCCCTGGCCCCACTGGGGAGAGCGTGACTTGGCAGACGCCCACAGCCAGGCCAGAAAACGTGCTAAAAAATTAACTGCATCGACGATCACAGGCCAGTGCAAACAGTACCCTGTCTATCTACTAATATAATGTAGCCAATGGGGCCATGATGCAAAAAAATGATGAGGTCAGGTAAACATGTAACATAATGCCTGTGTACAAAATCACTTATTAGCCTGAATGTTTGACTTTACATCCTCAGCAATGTTCCTTTGACATCTTTTTGGGGAGGGGGGGGGGGTAAGGGGGAAAAGGTATATCTGGTAAACCAGTTCTTTGGACCTCCCCTTGACTGTGTGACTCCTTGTTATGCGTGTCCTGGGACCCAGAAAGCGAGAAAGATATCCGGGTCCCTAAATGCTGCCTTTTTCAGTCACAGTGATTATTAACTCTTCCCAGTTATGTTGAAGCACATTAGTGCTAGCTAATTATCTGTGAGATAAATCTTATCCCCAGTTCACCTCCTAAGGAACAATGCCCGTATTAAAATAGTAAACTGGAAGGATGTCATTACGCCGGAGGCTGGCTGGCTTCCAGAACATCTCTTTCCTATCTGCGATCTGCGGAGAGCTGAAAAATCTGCTGTGGCTGCAGGGGGGAGGAAATCAGGCCCCCTTTGTTTTGTAATAGCCGAACAATGGAGGTTGTTGCTCAGATCCTACACAGGGCAGGGGCAGGTGGTGAGCTATGCGTTCTGGAGGGCATTTAATGGGCTTTGACGGCAAACATATGGGGTTGGGTAGGGGTTGGGTACTGCGTGCCAGGGTGCTGAGTGTCCATGAGTCAGACAGCAGCTAAATGCCAAGAAAACAACATGGTGATATGTGCCAGAGAGATGCCAAGAGGGTGTTTTTTTTTTCCCCACCTCCCTCAGGTGCTGTTTGGAAAGCAGCCTTGAAAAGCCACCAGAGAATCTGCCTCTTATCTGAGTCCTCTTGTGTCTGAGGAATCAGCATTAGCGTATGCTTTTTGGAGAAAAAAGCAAGACTGGCTCTTTGTTTGAATTGAAACAACCCACAGGACTGAAAGCTGGCTATTTGCTCCAGCTGGGGGCTCAGGGATCTACCAAAAATGGTTTTCTGGCAAACTTGTATCTCAGGGACACTTGGCCACGCCAGGCACTATTTTGAGTGGTACCACCAGGGAAAAAGTCCGAAGGGGCATTTACAGAGTGCTTGGGCACCAGGCCTGGCAGAAGAAGGTCCTGCCTGCAGGTCTACAGAGCCCCTGGCTGCTTTTTGGGGCCCACTGCCACCAGGGCTGCGAGTGAGGAGGGCAGGAGCAGGTGCCCAGCATGGGAAATGCAGAAGCGGCTTTGCTCCTGAAGCCAGCTGATTGTGTAATTACACCCTCCTGCATGGCATACAGTAAAATTCACTAGTCTGCTCCAGCCGTTGGGAGCCATTGCTGCAGTAATTGGATGGGCCTGACTAACGTGAAAAGGTTGGAGTGGAAACAAAGCACTGGGTTTCAAATGCAGGAATATTCCCTGGCATTTGCATATGCTCATTGACTAGATGTGGGAACAAACATTTGATTTGCAGTGGCTTAGATGGCTCTGTGGTACCGACAAACTGCATTCAGTGTTACCTCTGTGTATGTCCTTTCCTCTGGAGTAAGTTAATAAACATATATTAACAAGGCAGAACCTTACTTTTCTGCAGCAAGACTTTCAACCCAGCTCAGCCTAGCTTCTGCCTACTGGTGTCTTCACACAGCTTGGAGGAAAGCCAGTCTTTTCCCTCGAGATCACTTCCTAGCTGCTGGCTCGGTCCCAGCTCCAGGCAGTCACCAGTGCTCCTGCGCCCAGAGACGGGTGCCTCCTTAGCAGCTCAGCAGTCTCAGGACTGATGGGACTGGGATTCCCCATCGAAGGGCAGGCGCAGGCTTGGTGACCAGGCTGTGGGACTGGGAGAGGTGCATGGCCAGTCTGTCTGGCTGTTCACCCATTGCAGCTGCTGCGCTGGGTCCTGGTCCCCCATGAGACGCCCAATCCTCCCACGGAGGGCCAGCGGCTTGCTTGAGCTGCCTCCTGCCATGCCTTTCCCCCGGTATCTTCCCTAGTCCTCTTTGTGGTGCCTCTTTGCTCAGCTCTTGGACACCGACCACAGAAGGAAGCAGCTTCCTTACAGTTTTTGCTGCTGCTGGCCTGCCCAGAAATGAATCTCTTGGATAACCCCCCCAGCAGCTGGAATACCTGAAAACCCATGCTCCACCACACATGCGTTATTTTAAACAGAAGGGCAAAAAACAAAAGCAAGGTGCATATATAAATATTTGTATATGTGAATGTATATGTAACTGCATCGCTAGTTGGAGGGCTGTAAAACTGAAGGCATGGCAACCTCACGGAAATGCTGATGCTAAGGGAAGGTCATTACCCTGAGTAAACATCAGAAAATTCATATAGGAAAAGTACTTGAAAAAAATGAGAGCTCTAAATTTTACTGTCTTCTCTTGGGCTTTTACTCATGTTTCTCATCTAGGAATGATTTTCTAAATAGAAGACTCGGTTCTTCAAGCTCAGTTCCAGACCGAGAGGTGCTCAGATAAGATAAAACCAGAAGCCATGGAAAAATACCAGGAACCTCTTGAGTTATTGTATTGCATGGGATTTAGGAGGGCTTTGCTGTTTACAAATTCCAATTTTAAGCACTGCAGCTATGAAAATCCATATAAAAAGAAGTTTATATTAGATAAATTATTTACTCTTGTCCCTTTAGACTATGTCCTCCTCCATTAAAATTGAATCTGTTGTGAAGGAGAAGAACAGGATGGGAGAGTGCCCAGTCTGGGAAGAAAGGGAAAATGCACTCGTGTATGTAGATATTAACTCGCAGAAAGTGTGCCGCTGGAACGCTGTCACCAATGAAGTGCAGAGCATGTCTGTGGGTAAGCGAGTCCACTGCCAAGTCTGTAAACATATCCACTGCTTTTCCCTTGGGACTCTTTTCTGCATCCTTCCCAGTCTGTCTCTCCTGCTATGAGTCCTGTAGCACTGCAGCTTCTTCTACTTTCCGCTGAGCTGCATGTCCTGTCCTCCTGCAATGTATTGCTGAGTATGGCACAGCCCAAGCTGGCCAAGCGCAGAGGGAGGATCACAGGCAAGTGTGGAGGTACCTGTGTATGTTGCCGTTGCTAAGCCCATTGGGAAGGTGCCCTGTTCTTTTGGTGTTTGCAAAGGTATGGTCCTTACAGCTGCGCTTGTCTGGATGGCAGAAAGGCATAGCAGGATGGGCTGATGATATCTATCTGTGGAGGGGGATATTACAGAGGTGACAGCCTTGAAAAATGTTACCCTTGCTCTCTTAGCATCACTTCAGCATTTCCTATGTCAGGTATCTCCTGACTAAGCCCTGACAGCTCTGGTGCAGTAGGAAGGGCACGACCAACCAATGGCCCTGGAGCTGCCTGCCATTTCCTGCTCTCTCTTGCCTGCAGATGCTCCCGTGGGCTCCGTGGCGCTGCGCTGGTGCGGGGGCTACGTCATCGCCCTGGGAACCAGCTTTGCCTTTCTAGATTGGGACGCCCAGTCAGTCACCACTATCCTCAAGATCGAGCAGGATAAACCCAACAACAGGTTCAATGATGGGAAAGTGGATCCAAAGGGAAGGTTTTTTGCTGGTAAGTTCCTGGTAGAAATTTCCCCTGGAGAAAAGAGAAACTAATTATAGTGTGCTTTACTCCCTACTCTCAATTCCTCTGTTGAGTTCCCCACAACAACTGCTGCAGTGAGTGTGAGCAGTCTTGTGAATCCTCTTTGCAATTACTGCTGAAGTCTCTGATCACCTCACGGCAGAGGAGAAGTAATCCTTAATCCTTTGAACTAAATGAGGACAGAGGCTGTCAATCATGGCTGTCTGACAAGAGGGCTCTGCTGTTCCTGGACCAACCTTGTTTTTCAGAAGTCTACCGACATGGGACAGGAAAAGCCAGTGGAGGCTGCACACAGGTAAGAAGGTTTCTGGAGGTGCAGAGGAGGACATAGCTTCCAGAGGAGAATTCGCACGGTGACTTGCCTAGTTCCCATACAGCCCTGCTCATCAGGCTGTGGGAAACAGAGGTGCTGGGAGAAAGCCTTGGCCTCTTGAAGGCAAGCAGGACTTTTGCCATCAGTTTCAGTGCAGCCAGAATCCTCCTGTGCTTTCTTTCCTCCCATGTAAATTATGACCCAAACACAGCAATCTGCATGGGAAGCAGAGAGCAACTGATGTGAGTGAAGATGGCTCCAGAGCTGGATCTTTCTTTGTTCTGCCAGTCAGCCTTTTCTCTGATTTCAAATTTGCCAAAAAACAGCAAATCCATTTGACTCGTGGTTATGCTTTAGGGCTGACGTGTTGCTGGAGTTAAGAGCAAGAGTAAAAGAGAAGTTAAAGAAAAACTATTTTGCACACTTGTTCCTAGCTGTGCACAATGAATGAACAGCCTCAATTTCAGTTTTGGCCAAATGTTGTAAAACAAGCTCATGAGCTCTTATAAAAGGGGTGGCCAACAGAAACAGTTCCTCACAGTTAAAAGAAAATGTAAACACCCCCTAGAGTGCTTCAAACCTGTCGTCGTAGACATCTGTCATTTTCAGAGCAGAGAGGATCAGACATTAAATAAAGAGCATAACAGTGAGGCATAAATTAATTTAAAAAAAATCTCTCACTTCTGTTATTCTTTACTTGGCTCTGAGATAACCGTGTGATTTACAGCACCTACATTTTAAGGTCACAGCCCATTTCCATTGTAAAAGTAGCCTGCCAACAACAGCAAAACTGAGCGTATAACACTCACATCCATCTCTGCTTCGTCTCATTGAGGGCTTTGACCTCAGCCTTTGGCATGTTGTGGCTTTCTTTTAAGTCTTTGGTATCTAAAACTTAAACCTCGTGGAAATGCAGAAACTTGGCCTTTTGTGGTCGGGATGACTTCTGCAGAGGATAGCTGCTCCTGACCTCCTCCTTTTACTTCTTTTCATCAGTGTGACAGGACCTCACCCCTTTCTCACTGCCAGTAGGAATTTTCTCCTCTTCTACCTTCCTGCTGTTTCCCACTGGGCCTTTGCTATCCTTTGGTATTTAGGACCTCTCAAGGCCCATTTCTGCAACTTCTCCATCCTTGGAACAGGTCTTTCATCACTGCACAGTACTTTGGGATGGAGCCGTCATTCCCCCTTTTTTAGGCAGCTCAGGCAATATATGTTATACTGGTGGTGTTCAATGTTGAATGAATAGTAAGTCATGTCATAAAAACTTGAAGAGAAGCATTAGGACTTCTTACTAACACTTACGGGAGGTTTCTGATCGAGCATGAGGAAGCCACTCTTGTGCGAACAAGCTTCTCCTTTCTAACCGACACTCCACTTTTGTTTCAGGCACGATGGCTGAAGAGACAGCACCTGGGGTACGAGTGAGGCGACAAGGGGCTCTCTACACTCTTTACCCTGACTATTCAGTAGTGAAACAGTTGGACCAGGTGGACATCTCCAATGGTCTGGATTGGTCCCTGGATCACAGGACCTTCTTTCACATTGACAGCCTGACTTATGCTGTGCATGCCTTCGACTATGATGTGCACACGGGCAAGATCGGTACGTGTGCTTTTCTAAATATGGTGACAAGCAATGCTATTTCTCTTTCTGCAGCAAGACCTGCAACAGCCAGTGATTTATTTGGCAGATTTCATATCTTCTTCTGGTTACAGCTTGTTAGCAGGCTGACTATGATTCTTCTCAAATTTGGTTATAATGCAGATATGTTTGGTGAACAATCGTTTCATATTTTGTATGTGAAAATATAGAATACTAGCACTTTCAACTGAATAGTGGATATACTTAGACCTGTTTAAGGAGTTGCAAGAAGGAAACGCTTTAGACTGCAAAATGAGTATTAGCTTATAGGATGTTGTTTATTCTTGAGTGCCATCTACTGGAATGCTTTGATTCTACTACCTCCATACATACCAACAGAGAATGCACATGCATATATATTACAGAAGTGTATTAAAAAATCGAGTTGCTATAGTGATGGAGTTTTCTCAACTCTGAAGTCAAAATTGCCTGCGGATATTTGGCAGATTTCACTCAAATTCATTTTCTAGGAAAACATTTTTAATTACAGTATTTGCAAAAAGAAAATAGAAGTGCAAGCAACACTGAGGTTACTTAATTTCAAAATTCCATGAAATATTTTTTTGTTATATCTATCTATCTTAAAGGCAAAAATTCATCTGAGACTAATGCCGTGTCCGTGGGCATTTAAATGACTGAAGTGACTCCCCTTGTGTTCTAATCAGGGTGAAGTTTGTATAATCGTAGGTGAAAATCATACAAGATAATTACAGTACTCAGTTAGAGTTCAGTTTCCTTTGTTGTCTGTTTCTATAGATTTTAGGACCTAAGGTTTCTAAAGAATGTTTAAGGTAACTTTGTTTTTTTTCTCCAAATACAAAAATACAATGAGCTTGAGTTTCCCCAGCCTTGGTTTTATGCTGGCGAATATCTGTTTTAGAGTAGAAGAATGACAATATTGCACTGAGGTCTGAGCAGGCAGAACACTGCCTATGGGCACAGCTCCATGGACTGCACGTATGCAGACCTACCTCTCTGTAAAGAACTATTGTCTGCACCGCAGCTAGACCTCTAACTGTTGGTGTCCGGGCCTAATTAAACTGGTAGCTTTATTGGCCGTTAAAATAAATAAGGTTCTTGATCTTCACCTGGGAGAGATTATTTATTACCAACATTTAAATTAAACTCATTATTTATGTGATTTATTGCTCATAAAAGGACATCCAGGCTGCCATGAGCCTAAGAAAAGTTATCGCGCTTGTCATGGTGCGGCATGCAGCTAGTAGGTTAATAATAGGCACAGAGACATTTTGTTCTCTTCACTTGATAAAATAAGAAGTGTCCTAATTCAGCACAATCTCAAACCACAATGGCTCTACTGGCGGCTTATGTCTGCCAGCCGAAATTATGCTTTTAACCATATTTGCTAAATGCATGTGTAATACAAATTTTGCAGTGTGTTTTCCTCATGGAAAACAAATCTATGTGCTTGCAAGAGTGCGGAAGATGTTAGATTGGGATCCGGTACAGAAGCTGTACTAGTTCACGTAATACCAGCTTCGCAATTTTTCCTGCAGCCTGCCCAAAACTTGTGTACCGTTTAGAGAAGGAGGAGCAAATGCCGGACGGGATGTGCATAGACGCAGAAGGGAAGCTCTGGGTGGCCTGTATTGATGGCGGCAGAGTGATTCGTTTAGATCCAGAGACAGGTAAGGCCTCCACCAGCAGTGGTCTGTAATTCTGCTTCTAGTACGCCTGTTTGATATGCTGGGCCACAGTTTTGAAGTGTTTTCATTTTGTATCAATTAATTGTCTTGTTCTGAATCGAGTCGGTCTGTCATGGGGAAGTGTTTGCTCCTCAGCCGCTGCAGTTCAAGGCGTTATGTATTACCTTAAACCACCATGGATTTAATATGTCAGTTGGTACAATGAGGCAGCGGAGGGGTTTTGTCCTACCTGCCCACAAAGAACATTAGAGGCGCTCGAGGAGCGCGCTCCCCCGAGAAATAACCTCGACAATCACCACCGCTAAATCACACTGGGCACGTCAGCCGTACCATCCTCCGAGGGGACGGATGTACAACGTTTCAGTAATTTGATTTAAGCTATATGTCACGGAGCAGAAGGGTGCAGGAAAGGCAGCCGGGAGGGATGTTTCGAAGGTAAGATAAGCTGGTGTCTTTTGTTGCCTGTTTCTGCCCCACGCATTGCCCTGCGCAGCGCTGGTCTAGGCCCTGATCAGGCGAAGGGCACTGCCCGGCTGCCTGCCCACCCCTTCTGTGTACCAGGTACCTCTGCTCGCACGGTCTGCTGATGAAGCCCACCCCTTTCCTTTTAATGCTGCTTTTTAACGGTTGGCTCAGCAAATCTATTGGGAAAAACATTTAAAACTTGCAATTTAAAAAAAAAAAAAGAACATTTATTTTTCTTCAGCACTGAAATGTTGAACCGGCTAATGCTGTTAGGAAGTGACAGCTACTCCAGGCCCCATGTGTCTCTGCCCTCCCTGGCTTCACATACTGATTGTTTCATTCTGAGAAAAAGGAAATGAAGCCTCATGGATATAGGAGAGGTGCTGAAAAGTAATTAGACAAGAAGCAGATGGACGAATTTCATTTCCCCTGAAACTATCCTTTAGGATATGGCCTCTATCTGAAAAGAAAATGCCTTCTTCATGCTCTGTGTAAAGGCTACAGCTGCACCATATTCCTTAACAGTAAATTAATATTTACGTGCTTCCTAGAAAACATAAATTAGGAGACAATTAAATATTTTTTTCCAGGAAAAAGAATCCAAACTGTAATGCTGCCTACTTCCAGGATCACTTCTTGCTGCTTTGGTGGAAAAGACTATTCAGAAATGTACGTGACTTCTGCATATGATGGGCTGGATGAGACGGCCTTGGCAAAGGAACCTCAGGCAGGAGAGATTTTCAAGGTAACCAGATCTTATTTCTTTCCATAAATCAGACCTGCCAAGCTTCACGTTCTGATAGCGAGGCATGTGATTGCCTCAGACCTCACCAAAGCTGGGGTTTATTGCTTGTATATCTGTGCGTGTGACCGTAGCAATTCCTCTGGTCGTGTGCTGAGCACAGCTGGCAGGCAGCTCTGCTCTGGGTTTGCCAGCTGTGCCTGACACATGTGGCGGGTGCAGACAGGAGTGAGGTGAGAGCTGCCGCCCGTTGGGCAACTGGTGGTTCTGGATCTGCCATGTCCTTCCTAGTATATTCCTTAATACACTCTAAGAGATTGTGTATTGCTCCTATTTCTTAGTATGCTTTTGTCCGTTTTGGAAATTTCACTCCCTTAGTTGCCATTTCTTAATTGTGCCGAGGTATCTAAAGGTTTACGATACAGATTGCCCTTTTTAAAAATCAGATTAAGCTCACCAGGGCAAAACTGCAAGGAATTTCTTACTTGAGATTTTTTTTTTAGTCTGTTAAAAGCAGGTGATACATTTTGAGTAACTGTTAATCATGCTTTTGTCTAGGGCTCTTGAATTCAAAACGTGTTTCTCTGCTGGTTATTTTATTTTCTCTTTCAAAGTATTAGTAAAAGGTGCACCGGGAGATTAAAAGACAGTTCTGAAAGAGCACTTACTGTCATTCCCTGAGGGGTGACCCTACCGTGAAAAGGAAGGGCTGTAAATGAGGGGAAATGGAAAAAAAACAAAAAACAAGAAACAACTTAATATCAGTTTGGAAATAGGATAAAGGCATGACCCAGGAAGGACCTGAGGATCTAATTTGGGATCTGGGACTTTCTAATTCAAAGCAGTGCTTGGAACAGATTTCCTGTGGCCAAGAACGAATAGACTCTTGAATCAGCAGAATTTAGGAGCTGACATGAGAATTAAATACCAGAACGTCATTAGGAATCTTGCCTTTTTTTTATCTCTGTTCCTCAATTCTCCTGTTATAAAAGTGAGTTGCTATTTTTGAGACTCAATTTGTCTTGCATGCACAAAGTGCATCAAAAGCATTGGCAAATTTTTGGCATATTTGCCAAATATGGCAAATATGACTTGTTTCGCTAACGTGGAGATAAGTAACATGTGTAAAGGCTGTGGAAGGTATGTGCATTAGCAATTATTGAGTGTTATTTGATAATCTTAAGGATTAACCTTAGGGCTTTGTGGTGTTGCCAGTCACTATGAGTACATTTTGTTTGCTCTGAAGGACTCCAGGTAATGACTCTTTCGGGGCTTTCCTTGAAGCAGATGTAGGGGTGGGTTACTATGATATTTGTTGTGCAACATGTGGATGTTTCCATTCTAATCAGTCAGATATTTATCCTTTTCCTTTCTTTTATTCTTTAAACAGATAACAGGCCTGGGTGTGAAAGGGATTCCACAGAATTTCTATGCTGCTTGAATATAATGTTAAATAACAAACAAGAAACGCTTATGGCTTGTTGGAGTAATTCTGACAAGGTAAAATCCAATGAATTACAGAATTTATCTGTATGAGGATTTCTAAACACACATCTGAGAACTCACTTGTTTGGAGCTGAAGATATTTCTTCTTCGAGTCTGTGGCATGATACAATAGACTAGAGAGGCAAGGCTTATCTCTGTTATCTTGACATCTGTTATGAATTTACACAAACCTCTTTAAACTCCAGCTTATTTTGATGTACTTCCTGATGACCAGCTCTGCCTTTTCATATCTCCGTGGTTCCAGAAGCAGAATTGGACAATTTGACTCTTAGTTTGTCTTCCTGTGTTGCAGTGATGTGGCAGCAACAATATGGCAGATTTTTAATAAATTTCAGAGTGATGACTTGAACTAGACTGCTCCTTTGCTGTGGGGTCAGACTTCTCTGTAGTATTCAGACTTCATTTTTAGATTCTTTCTAGCCTGTTTCTGTTTGCCTTGTCTTGAATTCTCCTGCCTTGTCTTTAGGACATCATTTATACAGTTAAAAATAAATTATGCAACCGTATTTAAAATGTGTTTATAGGTATTTTTTTCACATTCAGATATTACCATGAAAATATGGAAGGACCACACAAAGCCCGGGTACAAAAAGTCTGTGGGCTACCAGGATGTCCTTTGATACTGAAACCTGATGCTCCATATAGTCTTGCTGTTAGAGGACATATTTGCACGCAAGCACCTGTACTTCCCTCCGCTTTCCATACCTTCTCATTGCACACATGGCTTCTGTTTTCCTCTCTTGTTTAAAGTCTTTTCCTCCTTTCTCTCTCTCCCCCTTTAGATTTTCTTTCTGCTACCTTTCTCTTCTATTCTCTTCTGCCTAAGTTTCTCTGCCCAGCTGGAGTTATCTCACTTTTTGTCAATCTGCTTTCATCTCTTTGTGGTCCATATTGCTCAGTATCAAGTTTAAAGTCCTTGTCCCTGCTTTCAGCGCTGCATATATCTGCTCAGGTTTCTTGCCGATTACCCTCACCTTGTCTCTCCTCTCTGAGAGGGCTGCTTTGGCCTCTTGCTTTTTTTCTCTTTGCCCAAACTGTAGAGGGTTTTATCCCATGCAACTGCCTACACCAAAGCTAAGATTGTCCTCTCAGAATTCACTGAGGACATGCTCATCCTAACCTTACTTCTCAGATGGAAATTAGGATTCCACTAAAAAAAAGCAGAAAAATGCAGCATTTGAAAGCATTAAGAACTGAATAAAACTGTTAAAAGTGCTATATACATAAGGGAAAAGCAAATTTTGCGTTTAAAAGATGGTTTGTCAAACAGAGACAGTATTGCACGTAACTCATGAGTTAAACTAACTCTTCCTTCCAAAGTTTTCAACTAGAAGATTGCAGACCTCCCGTCTAGTTTGGACTAGTTTCCTGCTTTTTTGATTGAACTCTCCATTGACTTCTTGTAGAGTCAATCAAAGCCAATCTAGGCAAACTGAAATGAAGAAAATTCCAATTTAATGAAAAGATGAAGATGATGCCAGTTCGATGAAGCCAGAAGTTGATGAGGCATTTTCACAAACTCTGGTGCTTAGCTAGCGACTTCTGCCAATTTGGTAGGCAGACCTTTTTAAGATTTAAGTCAGAAACATGTACTGCCTGGCTGCTGTTTTCATTGAAGGTATTTTAACAATTGTAGTAAATCCTAATGTACTTCGTCATGATTACAAAAGGGTTTATTTTTAAGAAGTATATATTTTAAAATTAAAATTGAAAATGGTCAGAGGCAGATTTTGGAGTTCTTGTCTGAAGTAAACCTAATTTTATTGGTCCTGTCCCAGAATGGAAGGTGATAGAGTGGGAAAGGCAGCATCAGGAATCCTGGGAGTCAGAGTGAAAATTTCTTCCCTGTCAGTTAATATTTGACAGATACATTTTTTTAATCTTTGATACTGGGTTCTTCATTCCTATTCTAATAGACTCTGCCAGGAGCTAGGGGTGCATTGAGGGGACTCTTGAACACAGGTTTTTTCAAAGGCTTTAAAGGTGATCTGGCACACCTACAGTAAGCCAGATCCTGTTCAGACTCTTTTGAGACTGGAAGGATAAGTGATGGAAGTAAAGAGTTCACTTGCCGTTTGCCAGTTTCTACTGCATGGTCTGCCAGAGGAGTGAACGAGAAATGACGGTGCAATTCATGCCATCTATGAAGACAATCGTGGGCTGGGCCTGGATGAACGACAGATGATTAAGCAATTTGGTCTTATTTCTTATTTTATTCCTGCTCCCAAATGTCATGTTACAACTGCTCCTGGTAACAGACTGGCAGCCGTCGCTGTTTGTGTCACCTCTAGGAACAGCCTTAGTTCTGGCAGCACTCATGTGTCAGCAAGGTGCTCGTTGAAAAACCATTTAGCTGTGTAGCCAGTAGCATTTTAGACTTTTTTTTCTTAATTGTTTTTAATTTTGATTTTGTTAAGTCATTTCACAACCCTTCCATCTCCTGTGAATGCCACACTATCTCTGTGGCTCTTACCTCTGAATGTCACCACGTCCATTCATTTCCCCAGTTACTGCAAAGGTAGTATTGGCAGTGCCCCTGCAGGGCAGAAACAGCATCTTACATGTTAGGCTGTGACATGCACGTCAGATAATGCCGGCGGATGAAGCTGTATAAAAATAGATAGTGCCATGGTGGGGCCTCTCGATGCTTCCTGACACCAGATGGCTTTGTGCAAACTCGCAGCCAGACAAGACTATCTTTGACTCCTACAGCTCTATGACTTTCAGTTCATTTCCCTGTGAGCAGGAGCTAGTTATACCTCAGAGGCACAGAAAGCACAACATCAAGTGTATTTTTAAGGTTATTTAAACAATGCTGGATCCATTGACCTGTTCAAGTTCTTCCGGCCCAAGCTGTGGCAACAGGCTCTGTCCCATTGGAGGGTATAAATCGGTGTGGATCTACCTGAACTTAGGAGAAGCTCCAGAATCCATTTTTGGGAAAAGCCTAGTACACATGCAACTCTTTATTAAATCCTTCCTTTTTAATTTGTCTTTTCATTTCTATTTCTCTGATTATTTTCTAGGGAAAGGTTTACTTTCATTATTAAGATGTGTAGATTTCCAGTGAAATCTAGCCTTTGCATTGAATTGCTATCTTTTTATCACCTGGAAAGATTCACAAGACCTAATATGTTTTCAGATCCTTAATGCTGCCATTTTATGAGGTTACAAAGAGGCCAATGGTATTCATCATTTACCAGATCAGATTTTTCAGTGTCTTTTTCTGAGGTATTTGACCCTTCTACTATTATCCAAAGCCTTGAGTTAGCGCTCAGACTCCCTGCACTATGAATAGGGAGTATTTGATGCCTCAGAGGGGGAATCCCTCAAAATAACTCACACTTGGAGCAGGGAGAAACTGCAGGTAGCCGTTAGGAAATGGGAAACATGATTTCTGCGGAGGTGTATGCAGTTTGCCCCTAGAACGAGTGAGCGCCTCCAGAACCTGTGATCCTTGCCTGGCATGAGGGCCTTCCTGGCATTTAATAGACATGAACAGGCAAGGTGTTTGGAGGCAAGTCAAGCGTCCTAACCTTTAATTAAAAAAACAGTAGGAAGTGAGTGCGGGTATTTTATTTAATAAAAAATAATCAAGTGTTTAAAAAATCGCCTATCCACTAGACTATTTGTCTGTCAGAAAAGGAAAGCAGATTGTTTTGAAATAATTTGTTCTTGATGTGTTGTTTTTTTCCTTTTAAAATATCTCTAATGCTCAACTTTCTTATGAGATAGGCTGCTAGCTTGCTAACAAACGAGGGATCCGGTTCTGGGCTGTGACCAGTTTAAACTACCTCTCCCAGGACAATGTCCCACCTGTTTCAGAGGGGGAAGTGACATGGGGGAGATAGGTGGTGTGTTTGATCCCTCTAGTTGAACAGTTCAGGAAAAAATTTGAGGTCCAAGGGGCCAAGAAGGAAATTTCATTCACTGGGCACTAGCGAATAGGCCTGGTCACTGAACAGGGGTTTCCAGAGTACACATTTGAATGTAGTTGCCTGAAGTCCACTGTAAAACCCGCTTTAGGTACTTTTCCAGTTCTTGTTCTAGGTGATTAATTTAGGTCATTAGTAAGCACTTTGCTCCAGTGCTACTTGACCTGATAATTGGTAAAATGGGATGAAGGCTCTTGGCCCATTGTTCTGCTTCACTGCTACCTTGCCCTGGAAGGCAGGTGAGTCCATACAGCTGCACAAAGCCAACTTGATTGAGAAATAAAACATTCAGCTCATTCTAATGTTTGCTCGACAACGAGGCTGTTGTTTTTTTCCTTAGTCATAGTTCCAGTAGTAATTAAGCTGCTGGCAGGTCTTAAGAGCAATGGTGCTAAATGCCCTCTGGCACCATGTCTATGCCAAACTGGTGTAAAGCACTGACAATTATGCAAGATTTCCTGTTTACCCAGTGTGGAGAGGAATGTGAAGCAGGATATTTGGAGGCAAGTCAAGTGTACTAACCTTTAATTAAAAAAATAGTAGGAAGTGAGTGCAGGTATTTTATTTAATAAAAAATAATCACTTATTTATAAAATTGCCTATCCACTAGGCTATTTGCCCTGCCAGAAAAGGAAAGCAGTTTGTTTTGAAACAATTTACTCTTGAAAAATCCTTATTGCCCTCTGGTTCCTCACACGTTTTTTCTACAGCTTCCCCAGATGCGCAAGCTAGGCTCACTGGTCTATTTTTCTCTAGCCACTCCTTTCCTCCATCTCTAAAGTGAGATACTTTGTTTGCTGCTCTCAAACTCCAAAGTTTGAGTGCTTTGGGATCTCCCTCATTGCAGCAGGGCTTCACAAGATAAAGAAAGGTTCAAAGGTGAATTTCTCTCTCTTGTCCAAAAGTCTGCTTGTTCAGTCCTCTTCAGATTTCAGAACAAATTATTTTTTAATGGTTTTGCTTCCTAAAAAGTAATGTTTATTGGAAGTCATGGTGGTCCTGTTCCCTAGCCTCATTTGTCAAAGTAAGGCAAAGGCCCTTACTTTGGAGGTACAAGATGGGGTTTATTGCCTCTGTGTGTTTTGGGAATAAAGTAGTAGCTATAGCCCTTGGTGAGGATAATCTCTGAGTTTGTTACTGGGTGACCTAATATGTGGGCTGGTGTGGGTCAGCCCCATGCGGTGAGATATGTGACAGCGAGGCTGCTGCCTGCTCAGTGCTAACCTGCTGATGGGTTATCTCCCCAATACAGGGTGAGAGAAGACCACAAAAGAGCTCGTTAACAGGGTAGCAATGACTGAAGGAAGCTGGTTTGCCTTGTGGGGGATGGCTCTGTATATCTTGCCTTTTGTAGCTTTTCTAAGTGTTTGCTATGCTGGACAAACTTTTCTTCTCTCACGTGCTTTTAT